ACCACCTATTTCTAATCCCACTTTTTGACCCTCTAACCATTAACTACCTTAAAAAAGCCAGAAAAAATAAATCTCCCATTTACACTATACATTCTCTCAATCCTTATATGAAATGTAGTATGTTAAATTTTGTTTTCATGGGAGAAGCTTGATCCTGGGCTGAGGAAATATTCCCTCATTCACCAAAAGCATGTCAGAAATAGTCAGCTCTAGACTTGTATCGGCACAACAGAACAATAGAATTTTCTCAGACTTTGCATAAGGACTCAAAAATAAGCAGATTGAATCCATTTTAACACGAGTATGGGCAAGCATTTCCTTTCATAAAATCCTTTCAGAGAGGAGCTAACCCCACAACTTCATTATGATTGTTAAATCCAAACAGCAGATAAGCAAAACCTCAGCAAGGGTTCAGATTAGCCCAAATCATTTGATCACGATGAGTCAGAAGGCGAATTAAGGAATCTTTTGTTTTGCCTTAAAATGTCACGGTATAAACTGCATCTGCTCAGGAGCTGACTCACAAGACCCTCAGACAATAGGGTAGCAGGGGCAAGGAAAGGACTTGGGGAGATAACCTCCATAGCCAGCCCCAGCCAGAGTGTGTGTGCTCATCAATTATAATCCAAGCTTTTGAATGCAAGAGAATAAACCGTTGGTTCAGCTTTGCTAAATCGAATCTTTTTTGCTGGGTTTTAGAATTTGGAAATCAATACTTTAAAAGGATTTTAAAATTCATATTCGCCTTCCCTTTGACTCATCTCGTTTCAGCTAGTTCAAACACAAGAAAATGGATGGTCAGCAAACCCTAAGCAGCTGCTGGCTGGATGAATATCTAAAAATCAAACTATTATCTACACTATCCAAGCCTCTCAGTTCAGAAAAATTAAAGTGGGAAGACTCATAATCTCATCTTTTTTTTTTCTTTTTTTTTTCTTTTTTTCTTTTTTTTTTTCGGTGCCAGAAACACTCAATAAAAATGTCTTGCAATATATCACACTTTTAGTCACTACAATAAGCCTGCGGGAAAGAGATGAAATGAGAAAATTCTCAACTTTTCTCTAGATCACAAAAAAACCCCAACCTGATCAGCTCAGCATTAGTGTGAGTTTGAAGTGAGGAAGAAATATCAAGTAGACTAAATCTAAATCATCTTATCTTCCCTAGTAACAAAGGATAAAACTTGTAAATACATCAAGAATGCTGAAATTCTTAGCAGAAATCAGCCTCAGAGAAACAGTCCCTATCAAAAAATCCAGCAAGCATTGTTATCTACAAAAACAATCCATTATCATTTTCTGCATTTATTTAAATCATGAAAATGCACATGGACTGAACTAAATCACTTTTCAGCTTCTAAATCAAAACTAAAGCTTGTCCAAAGATGGCTGTCACAGAAATGAGAGGTGATTTGGTAACTGTCTTAAAACTCTAGCACCCATGTACAAATAGTCATCATAGTTAAATAGGTGTCATAGTTGAAACATGTTAAATAGTATTTAAATATGTTACTGTAAGGGCAGATTCAACACTGTTTCATTTTTCCTATTGCCTTGATGGGTACAGGATCAGGGTCTCTGCATATCACAGAATCACAGAACACCAGGTTGGAATGGGACCTCAGCTGGTTCAAACTTTCTAGGCAACAGCATAGGAAGCTAGGAAGAAAAAAAAATAGTAATAACTACACAATAAATAACTACATTACTTATTGGAACAATGAAACAAAAGGATATGCTTTGCATTGAAAGCTCCTGTTGATGTGACACAGGAATGATAGCACTGGATAGACTCTGCTGCTCTCTGACATTCCAGTATCTCAGATTATTTAATGTGGATCTTAGGAATAAGTGCACAGATGCAGTCATTGAATTTACGGCACCGAGGACAGTGAAATTCATTAAGAACCTGTCCCGACAGCAAATCTGTCCCAGTGCCCCTGTCAGATCCTGCACATCCTTCCACCAGCTCAATTCACCCCTCATATACATCACAGGAGAATTTCTGCCCTCGGTAACAACTTTTACTGTCCTCCAAGTGCCCTGAGCTGAGACGCTTTGCTTCTTTAAATTTTCATTCTTTAAAATTCACTTCCTCAAAGGGGTTGGGGCCATCAAACTGATGTGGCAGATGTCAAACACAAAATCCTCCCCAACTTCATTTCTTTTCCCCTGCTTGAGGTTTTAGGAACAGGTCCCTTGTTGGTGGTTTTCAGCATTGAAAATAATATGAGGGCTGGAAACAGCAAGGTAGAAGATATGAATTTATAACATGTTTAATAGACTAAGTGTTAGCACTAATTCAATGAGCAGTAGAAGGAATTGTAAATGACAAAGGCATTTACAGTTAACTGTCTAAGAGAATGCAGGGAAGTAAATCATTACATGAAAAAGGAGCTCCTTTGCCCAACCTATTAAAGAACCCACTAAAGAGCCAAGGCATTTATTGATTGCTTTCTACTTTCCCACTGCTGAAACTAAGTACTCCTCTATTTACTTTGATTTAAAAATGCATTATTGTCTACTTTCTAATAAACCAGACCATGGAACAAGAAACTCAAATTATTCTAAGTTTATTCTTAAAAGTCCGTGGTGGTTTTTTTTTTTTTTTGCTGGTTTTTTTTTTTGTTTTTTTTTTTTTTTTTTTTTTTTTTTTTAAAAATTCCGTGTGTTTTTTTTTTTTTTTTTTGGGTTTTTTTTTTTTTTTTTTTTTTTTTTTTTTTTTTTTTTGAAAGACTGAAGACCTTAATCCTTAAAAGCCTTTTTGAAAGAAGGGTTCCTCGATGCTGGCCCTGCAGCTGGGCCCAGATTGAAAGTGCACTTACATTTTTATGTTCAGTGCTGAAGGACTCTGAAGTTAGCCCTCGCACTGCGCATAAAAGCTTTGGAAAGGGCATTCTTTGCCACTCGTGCAATTCATTCTCTAAGAAAAGGAAATGGAAAGAAAGATTTCATGTCCAGGGCTTCAGGCCTTTGATCATTTGATGAACATTGGATCCTCAACCTGGGCCTCCAGCTTCTCAGGCCAGACAAAGAGGGCCCCGGCCGCACAGGCTGGGCCGCGGCTCCCGCCCGAACAAAACCTTTGGCGGCCGCACAGTGTGACAGCCTGGGAAAGGCCCACCTCAGCAGGGCTGAGATGCCCGCTCTGCCCTTTGATCTTTCATTTAAACTCCAGCCAAAGCACCAGGTCAGGGGATTTCGCGTTGCACACCCCCACGGGCAGAGGGGAGCAGGTCAAGAACAAAATGGGGGTGACCGATCTCCAAAAAGCCCTGTGACGCCTTTCTCTGGCCAGTTTCACATGACTTGTCTGGCATTGTGAAGCGCTAAGCCCACACTTAAAATGGAATTTGACATTACATGGTACAATGGAGTCAATAAATGGCATTCTTCAGTGCTTTTACAACAAAGTCAACCCTCCCTTAAGTGGCTGAAAGCCCCGAGCTAGAAAATACTCCTCATTTACTTCTATATGCCAATAAATTGCACATACTTTAAATCCAGTTTTCATTATGGCTTCTCACTGCTGATGGCCGAAATGAGTGAACAAACACTTAACAAAGGTCTACATTAATTTTACTATGTACCATTGCTTCTATTTTTAAAGTCTAGGTTGTCATGTGGCAAGTAACAAGCATTGGAAATATCTCCATATTCCTTCACAGAGCAAAAACCTATTTTCCAACGAGCATAAAAAACTAATCTCATCCCACTTAAAAATTTATTTTCAGTACAGCGCAAAGGAGAAGGCAAACATACAACTTCTTTTAGCATCAGTGGCAAGTTCCACATGATGCTTGCGGGCAGAAAATTCAGTCCATGTTTGATGAGACATGTTAACAGAATCTGGAGGGAAAAAAAAAAAAAGCTAAAATCTTCTTTCTAACGGGACCGGATGCCACCATGTCCCAGAGGACTGGAATATTCAGGATGCAGCAGCAGATGACTGCAAAGCATGGAGAGTATTTTTAAACTACATATAAAAATATGTCAGTGTTAGAAGATATTAAACAAAAAATGTAAAGTGATTAGAATTCAAAGAACTAAATATTGTTTCTCTTTATAAATGAGTACATTTTTACACCTAATCCTTTTTCATTAAATACACGTGTGCATAATGCCAGATGTGGCTTAAGAACTCAGGTAAAGAATCAATGAAGGCAAATTTCTTTTTGTTTATTTGGTCAGATTTACATGCTCACTCTCACCCTCCTTATTAAAAACCAGTATTAAAATTTTTTTCAGTTCTAACAAAGATTATTTCAGAGCATCTCAAGTACTTCCCACCATGAACAATTTTACGAATCAAGAAAAAAAACAACGAATGGTCCCAATCTCTAGAGAATCTATAGAATGCTCATTTTAACAAACAAGTTTATGTTCAGTTGATGGGTTATTTCCCACTTCATAAAATTACATACCACAGATGAGACTTTTAAGAAACAGAAAAGTTAAATACATTGTTCAATATTGAACAGATAGTGCTAGAATTGGCAATGGAGATTTATTTTCAGTCCTCTGTCCTGTCCACTACAGCCTTTTTTCTTGTATGAAACAAATCTGTGCTAGACATGAGGCCCTGTCTGGCACCACCACTTCTACACACATTGGTGGCAATGGGCAGCTCCAAAAAGGAAAACAATCACATCTGACTGTTGTGGTGGGGTAGGTGACAGGGGACTGGGCAACAGCCATGACACAGCCCAGGACCTAAATGAGGGTTGTACAGCCCCAAGGCATCTCTTGAAAAAAACTGCAATAACTATTTTAAATGATAAATTTAAAAATTCAAATACTTCTCAACAGCACAAACACACCTCTCATTCACAAAGCATTTGCGTTAGGTATGAAAATAAAACTACAGAACATTCAGGAAAGAGTACAATTTGCCTCTAATTTATTCTCAGATTTTCTGTGAATATTGCTCCCCCACTGTTGTCATGGCAACACAAGCACATCTTTCAGTACTGAGGAAGTAACAAGCCTTTCAATTCTCACCTTTGGCCATTTTATTGAGAACCATGTCAATTAGAATGTAGGTTCCACTTCTTCCCGCACCATCACTGCCAACAGAAAAGGGAAAAGAAAAAATAAAGCCTATCAATGTGCATCTAGACTCAACATGAAGATACCTGCCCTTAATGTCATAGTGTTACACATGGTGGGAGAGGAGAGAATGAGGGGTTAAAGGAGGGTACTGAGAGGGTAGAGAAAGCTTACACTGAATAAACACAAGCTGGTTGTGGAAGATTAACTACTACCCTGCATGGAGAACAGGGCTTTGTTTTGTTTTTTTAAGCCAAGTTGTATTTATGCAAGAAAAACATTTTAAACAATAGTGGAAAACCCTAAACCTGAATACCATTTCTATTCAAGAAGTGTACATATAGTAACCTTACACTCACTTATATATGAGATGAAGAACTCCCAGTAAGTTTGACAAGAACATTATCCAGAACAGTAAAAAATGCTGCACATTGCATTTGAAAGCAGTGGTCAGAGGGAACGCATAAATCTGCTCAAGAACAAATATTTGATTACTGAGGGACTGCAGTCTTCACTATATATGAGTGGTTTATTTTTTCTCTGTACCTTTCCCTTTAGTTCCTCCCTAGTAGCAATGACCAGAAAGAAATATTATCTTGTAATTCCTAAGAAATAGCCTTAAATTTTGTGTATCAATAGCCCTTCCTCAGAGATGTGAGACTCAAGCCTTGGGAGGGGGAAAGCTCCCTAATCTGAATGCAGCTTGTGTCCCTTTCAGAGAGCAACGTGTAATTGCCAGCGTGATGCTCTTTTAGAGCTGCTGTTAGCAAACATAATTAAGACTTTAAATAAAAGCTTTTTTTCTTTCCCTCCCCAAAATTTTTACAAAGGTGCATGTGTGACCCATTAGGCTGGTATGTAGTTTTATTAATTAGGCCATTATTTTTATTGATAGCTCAATTTGTGTACAAGAATTAACGAAAGAAAAAAATAATAGAACAGCATGAAGCACGTTATTGCATTCTTTTTACAGGCGGACTATGAAACTTAATTTCTGTAGACAGAGATTTTTTTCTTTCAGTTACTAGATCACTGTTTAGAGAAAAGGAGCTAGTGGTAATAATTTTTTTTTTTCTCTGTCTATGAAGGGAAAAAAGACACAATCTTATTAGTTAAGCTGAATAATGAGAGACAAGACAGCAATCAGGCCCAATAAAAACAAAAACTGCTGAGCTCATGGTAGATATTTCCATCCATCACAGTAAGGAAAGAGCGAGAAACTTGAAGGATGTTCATTGTGCATCAAATAGTTCTTTTCTCATGTTTCCTGAAGGCAATGCCCACAAGTCCCCTCTGGAGCATTCAGCTCCTTACATCCTCACTCGGCTGAGCCACACGTGAGGAACACGTCCCCTCCCTCCTCACTCCCATCCAAAGTGAAGTGCCACATGGCAAACATCCTGCATCTTAGCAGGGCTGTTTTTCTGCCTTCATTATCTACAAGGATATTTTTGGCAAATAAGTCAGAAACTCCAATGGCAAAACTCAACATTAATGTTATTATGGCCAGCTTTTCCATTGAACTGCCTGACAGCTTTCGTGTGCATCTATCACATTGTCAGGCCTAAAAATACTCTGTGCTTAAAAAATTGCTCCGTCTGTGGGCAGGTTTCCACTCCCTGACATTGCCCTCTTACCCTGATCACTAAAAACAAGCAAAGAATAAATAAAACATAATTGAGTGTTAATAAAATAAAGCAGACTAAATTAGGAGGGCATGCAAAGAACACCTCTAATTTTGAAGGAGATGTATGAAATTGAAGTGCTACTTATACTAGAAAGCAAGGCCATATGTTATTAAGTCATGGCTCAACATCTAAAAAAATCATATGGAAGGATAATTTTATGATGAAAACAGATCCTGAGTATTAAATAACATTAATACTTGGTTGAATTATACTTAAAACTTTTAGCCTACCTTACTGTACTGATTCATGTAAAGCTTTAATTTGCCCACTTCGTTTATATCTATGTTAAATTCTTACACATACAGATCTCTCTAAAGCTATTTTAGAAATTGTACTTGCCTGCAATGAACAACTACTGGACAAGACCGACCCCTGTAGCACTTGTTTACTTTTCTGAAATAAAACAGACACAAAAAATTAATTAAGCATATTATATAATGTTTCTTTAGCCAACTATTAAAAATAAGCAATAAGAAAATGCATATATTGATGTCTTTAAAGAAATACTCAGGTTGATAGTTTCCTAATATAACACGCTGTTAGACAGATAATCTTGTTTGAAGTTTGATTCTGGTTTGATGCCTAAGAAATCCCAGAAAACATTCCATTATTACTGTTGTCTGGGCAAAGCAAATGAGCAATTTTCTCAAATCGTTCATGTCTTAGCTCCAAAACTAAGATTATCTTGAGATCCCTTGATTTTGAGGCCAACTTTGAGTTCATAAGCCTGCTCAAAGAAATATCAAGGGACATCAAACTGAATACAAAATTAAAAAAGGCGATTCCACTACACTTTATACAACGTGTGCTGATCTGTAACACCACTTCTTCCCAGAAAGGCAAATGCCAAATCTCCTCAAACACTTCTTAAAAATCCTAAAATATAATCTTATTGTAGTAAAAATAACTAAACCCATCAGTAAGCTTTGGTTCTATTGCAAAAGTGTTATATACTTAATGTTTACACATTGTTGTCTTTGACAGCTTCCTGGTTAAACATTCTCAGTGGCAAGAGAATATATGTGAAATCAATCAATAAAAGTGAATATATGTGAAAGCAATCAATAAAAGTACAGCCACAGAACAGGTCAGCTGATATGTAAACTCAATGAAGGAATTAACTAGTGCTGAAGCAAACCAAGATACTCAGTCTAAGAATAGAGCCTACAAAATTGGTTTAAATCTATTTAAATTGCCTTACAAAAACCAAAATCCCAAGCCCTCTCTTTTGCTCTAGGATATATTTTGCATGTCAAGTACGTTACAGGCCAAAAACCTATAAAATATGCACACATATGTTAACAAGGCAAGATGAATAAAGGCTAAAATGGGAAAGCATTGCTTCAAGAAATCAGAACCTTTCATTCAAATTGTTTGATGAGATGTTTGAGTTTACTGGAGCTAGGTCTCCTATGAAATAATTTCATAGGGCAGCTTCCAAGGGGTGCTCTAATAGTCCCCTAGCTCAGTGTAAATGCTACACAGGATCCTGATTAACTAAACTAAAGGGAGCTGCTGAAATTTGACAACAGTGGTGTGATGTTATTATGAATTTTAAAGCATAACTAACCTACTGAATCATTTAGTTCTTGGCTGTTCATCTATTCACTAACATCTGTGCTGTGAAAACATGCACATATCTTTAAACACTGCTTATAGTATAGCCTGAAGATGCCTAAACTTCTGACAGGGTGTTGGGATACCTGGAACTCAACCCAAATGGGCTATGGAGGTACTGGTGATATCCCATGAAACCAAGTTTTTACATTCTTCTTTTCGTTACTGAAGATTCTAACCAAACTTGAGAATAATATTAAGTTCTTGTAGGGTTTTCCTTTAAACATTTGAATTCAAGGACTTTTCACAATTCTTACTCTCTTGCTTGCTTATGTAAATCATACTTGCAGAAACATTCTGTCTCTATTTATATTCCCTGGATGTAAGTAATTAATGCAGTAGAACAATGTTCTTATTAGATGAGTGATAATTCATTGAGTAGCATGTGACTTCAGAAGTTAAATGGACCATTTATATGTCCATAAATATATCTATTGCAGGCAGTATCCAACAAAACTTCAATGATTTGGGCTACAGCAGAGTTTTCACATGAATGAACCATTCAATTCCTGATGGTCATATCTTGAGGATCAGCTCCTTCTATATGACATAAAGCCTGGTTTGGCAGGGGTTTTTTTGGTTTTTTTTTTTTTTTTGGTTTTTTTTTTAATTGTACAGTTATATTTGGAATGTCTGTACCAACATCTGATACAGTCAGCCTGCATTCCCCAACTTGCAGCTGGTCACTCTCCCCCCACCCCCACCATGTGCATTAGTAAAGAGTTGTTTTTTCCATTTCAAGTATTAAGTAAAAGCTAATCACTACAGAGGGGTATTTACCGTTTCTCTTTCTGCTTGTGTGGTTCCTTTGTTCCTTGGGTGGCACCACTAATATGATATTTGCATGTTGTGACTAGCCATCTACCAAAGTCCTAATATAATTCCAATGACAAACTCCATCTAAATCTATCAGACCTCTCAGTAAATCAGAAAGCCAGAGACACATGTTAGGGAAAGACACCTTATGTTTGTCAGTTTTATTCAAACATTTTCATTATCACACATTTCAGAAAACACATTAAAACAAAGGGTTTCAATCCAGCTGGTTCATAGCTTTGTCTATATATAGCTCATGAAAATATTTAGAAGTGCAGCAACATCTCATTTCATTCTTAGTTCTGGCTAATGAGAGTGAGCTGAAAATTCATCAGTAAGCAAAGTTCTTGAATGTTGAAGAAAATATATATTATATATATATATACATATACAGGAAGAATTAACTTAGAAAGAATGATTAGTAATACAAACCAACCCTTGGCTCATTGAGTGAAAAAGAAATCATCATGCAAACCATCAGCAAGCAAAGGTCAGAGGTCGTTAGAGGCTCAGAAAAGGGGTTTCCCACATTGTCCCTGCAGCAGAGTCACAGTTTCCAATGATCACTTTTGTGACTATGCAACTGGGCTCATATTACTAGCTGCAACATCACAAAAATGACACTGGCAACCGCTAATTAGCTGGCAAAATAAGAATTTGTCCATTTTTAAAGTGAGCAGTGTTAGTAAATGCCATTGCACACAGCGAGAAGTGATAGCATAATAGATATATATTTTAAGCAAAGCCCTCACATGTGATGCTAATTATCTTTTAGCTTAGCAGTCCCTCTTTAAAGTGTAAATGTGCTCCCTCTGGGCTCAAGAAATATTTAATGACACATATCAGTGCATGACTAACAAGCTAGTCCAGAGCAATAATGATTGGTCTATTGTTCAAAATGAAATTAGGACTCCAGAAGCATTTAAAACTGACCAGTGGTTTCCGTAGTAGCCTCACCTCTCAGGGACTGTCTTTTGTACAGATTTGTAAAGTATATAGAATAATCTCTTTTTGGCAATTTATTCCTACATTATGAAAGTATGATAGATTATTCAGCAAGGTTTAATGTATGTGCTAGATGCAAAATCATCTAAATCACTGTCTGATACAGAGTAAGAGAAATGTAAGCTTTCAAAGAGACTTGCAAAATTTACTTCAATAAAAATGTTTAGGTCCATATTTCCGCAGACTCTGGGCAAGGTAATTTTGGGAATCCAATTTTTCTTGGTGATGAATTATAAAAAATAGAGGGTTGGTTATGTATATGCTTAATTTCATATATGTATGTGAATATATAAATATACACACATATCCATATATATATATACAAACACACTGAATGCACATAAAAACATAGATAAGATTAAAAGAAATGAGAGCAGCCCCTTCCTAGCACTACCCTACTTAGAGTATGGTAGCACTGTCAGACATTTTTCTGGGGGCTTTATGACTCAGCTGTCGTAATCCAGCACAGCTTGTACTTTAAATAGAAAGCTTCAGGTGCAAAACATGTATTGTATAAATGAATTCCAAATACATTATTTTAGCAATAGTGCATTAGTTTTTTTGTCATTAAAAAAGAACAAAAAAAACCCAAAACCTGAAGATCAGATGACCAAGAAAACTGAGATTCATAGACCAGCTATTGTGCATGCCAAAATTCCTTTTCAGGAGGAATTTTACTATGCATTCAGCACTATGAGTTCATTGTACAAAATCCACACGTAGCAAATGATTACAGTACCCTACACTGGACTGTGAATACATGTGAAATGAACACTCAGAATTCAATTAAATCTTAACAGGTTCATTCCCATACTGGCTTAAAATACAAAGAATGGCAGCTCTGCTACTTTTCTCATCTAGTTATCATTTTTCTTTTTCAAAGTATTGCACAACACTTCTTCAACACGGCTATTTAACCCTTACACAATGTCACTCTAAGAAGCGCTTTCCTGGCGATGTGAACTGTGACTTACTGTAGATCTAATCCTGCAGCTCACGCAGGGACTTCAATCCTTACTGAAACAAGTCAGAGGCGAGGTGCTCTGAACTTCAGAAGTCCTGGCTGTATAGGCTCATTTATGCTCTAGTTAGAATTGCTAGCAGATTTCCCACTAACTTTGAAAAGAGCAAAGCCGGACGCTGCACTGGCTCTGTGCTGCAGCCTCACACAGCTTAATGGAACCGAGTCACAATTCTCACTACAGAAATGCACTACAGGCAACTTCCTCGGTACCACAAGCAAAGGGAAATCAACCTATAAAAAATCATATTAAAGTTGAACCCAGGAAAGAAAACCTTGAAAATTCAATTACAATTTCAGCTCCATCCTATGGCTGTGCTTCCTTGCTCCACTACTGCTTTTGTGTTGTGACTCTGTAGTATATCCTTACATCCTCACCTAGCCATAGCTCCAGGTGACTCAGAGCAGCTGCACTCCATTACCTGACCTGCACCGTGTGAGATGTCTCTCTGCTTTGAAAAGCCTTGCAATACGTACAAGAGTACTGAGTGGATGCAGGGTGGCATTTAGTCCTACATTTTTAAGGGTAAAATTTTGCCAACAGACAACTGCGCACCCAGCTCCTGTTGGCTGTGCGCCAGCTCGTCCCCTCAGGTGCAGATGCACAACTTTGACTGGCATCAGTCAGAGCTCCCAGCACTCCTTGAAAGAAACAAGTTTGGACCTTTTGAGCACTGAGCCCCTCATAATCACTTTGGGGGGTTGTAGATAATATTGTAGAGCAGAGAGAACAGCACGCGATCCCACAGGCCGCTGGCGGATTGAGCACCAGCTCCCCAAACCTCCTGGAGATTCTTTTCATTAGTCATAAGCGCATCGCTGTGGATTAGCTGGTACACGCTAACACCTACACGTGATGCACTGGGCACGGTTTGCAATCAAATGAAGATTATTTCGCTCCACTATTTATCATGCATGGCTTTAATTTTCAAATTAAAATTTAGATAGGCACAGCAAACATTAGAGAAGATGGTAAGGACTTTCACAGCTTTTGCCTTTCTATGTTTGTATTTTAAAGCCATACTGACTTTTTTTGAAGTTCCAAAGGGTACGCTTTGTCAACATTTTCATCTGCTTTCTCAAGCTTCCACCTTCTGCAGCCAAAGGTCTGCAGACCTCGCTGTTGGATCCTTATGAGCAAATGATCCCATGGGAATGATGCTATCGTCATATGACTCCATTGTGATTCTTTTTTTCAAGCATGCTCACACTTCCTAATTTACTTGTGAGAGTCCTGATATAAGGATCTTGGGGGAGCCACACAAAAAGCCTGGAAGTTGCAGAGTGGATAAATACTTGAAAAACAAAGAAATACAGAAGCACCGAGATTATACAAATGGAGGGAAAGTATTGATCTCTAAATGGGAAATAAATATGTCTTAAACCCGGGCAACATCTCTGTGTGAGGCAACCCTAAACATCAACCTACTGAAGATATTTCTCTTAGTTTAGCATTGTGGCATCACAGGCTGAGGAGCCTCCTTTCAACCCAAAAATCTTTAAAGGACATAAAAAGCACTAGGTTCCTCAGACCCATACAGTCTCGAAAGAAGTGCCATACTTTGTGCTTTACCTGCGGAAATCCAGAAGTGATCTGGTGGAAGCAGGAACCCTCCGATCGTTCCAGCTGAGGAAGTGGAACTGTGTCACTGTGCGGGTCTCGTTTGTCTGCAGGTTCTTCAGGTAGAAGCTCCTCACGAGGAAATCCTCGCACCAGATGTGCTCAGAGACAAGATTTACCTACACCCACAGGAAAGAACAAACGGAGATCAGCAATTCTGGCTGCAAGTCACATCTTCAGGATTGCAGGTGTAAGATTTCTGGCATGAAGGAGTTGCATGAAAATTTTATTTTTATTAGCAAATTGGCCAGTAATGGGGGGGGAAAAAATTGATGTAGCAATCAATGTAGCTGTCAAAGGGGTTAGCTGCCATTGGTACTGCATTGAAAACATAAGAAAAATCTTGACAATTTTAATGCAAAAGGGAAATTCACTGAATTTAATCTTTATAACATTATGTGAATACAAAAGATATTTTGTATTGAAAATGTGTTAGACTGGCAGTTCCTTTCTTTTCAGAAATGTCCACAAATGCATTGCCCAGGATACTCTCAGAGGTCTTAAAAATCTGAGTTGAATTCACATGAGAAGTGATAATTCAGTTTCTTTTGCTATGAAGAAAAAATAGCTTTAAAAAATGCAGCTTATTTGCAGAGCTCATCTTTTCAGAAAATGACTTTATTCCCATTTTAGTTTAAATAACAGGATTTCTTCATGATTTCTCCACATTTCTTCGTATTTGGCATTGTGGTATTATTTTCTTCCTCTACACAGCTGGACCACTGGAAAAATCTGACAGTTGTTGTCAATGCTGCATTGCAACACAACTCGTGATATGATATTTTGGGCTAGAAATGCAAAGCAGAAAATAAAAATATATATTTGTTGTTGTGACTGAGGCAAGAGATAAAAATAGATAGGATTAATTACTACAGCAATATAGAGGTTTTTCTACAAAGATTTACATATGGCTATCCTAAGGCAAAATTCACTTGTTCTAAAAATGCTATTTTCCAATAAAATATAAATACATGCTTTCACAGACCAACCACTTGCAAAACCATTCAAGATGCAAAAATTATTGTCCTTTTTAATATTGCAATATTTCACTCATTATTTACTATATTTTATTTGGTGGAAAGCACCTTGCTGTTAAAGCTGAGCTCCAATTTTTTTTGCAAACGCGAAACTAGCCGAAGGCACACCAAGCATATTTCAGAGTCCGCAGCTCGACCTCCAGGTTAGATCGTCTCCAGCATCATTGTGCCCCGTAAGGAATCAGCCCCTGCACTTACTGTCACGTTTGCAACCAGATATTTTGTGCAGGTACCTCGTAGATGTGGTAGAGGTTTGACCCTTCGTCTGGCCAATAGTGGTAGCACTGTTTGACTCCGTTTTCCACGAGGGGTGTCAGCATGACAATAACGACACAGCCGTTCTCCCAGACCATCTGCAGACAAAGAAAGACACCGTGGCCACATTGTGACTGCCTAATTACTGCGTGACATGTATAATTACTGCACTCAGACACACAATCAAAATTTATTCCATTCACAGGAAATTTATTTCATTTTCATTAGACACTTTTACTCTGCAGCTGCTTTCAAATCCCTGAATAAACTGGCACCATATTTTGCAGGCGTCCATGAAATATTAAAGAATTTCCTGTGATTTCAATTCAGGTCATCCACAAAATCTCTCCTTGTTCCTGGTATCATGTTCAACTGCTTTTCTGTCAAACTTTTAGATCCACTAAAGGAACACTGAATGGTGCTTGCAGAACACCCATCTATTTAAGAATTGAAATTTAACTCTGAAGCAGCACACACCTACTAAAGTCACATGTACTGAAACCTGCTTGTTTTCTCAACCCCATATCTTTTTTCAGTTTGCCAAGTAGTGAAAGCCATTAAAGTGCTGCATTGCTGAAACAATCATAAAAGTTGCACCTGAACAACAGTAATGAAGAAATGGCAGAGAAAATTCAAAGCAAATCTGTTTTTCCAGGAACAGTTTGGATGGGGAAATCATCTCTCCAAATGCACATTTATAAAAGATTTGTTACAAGTGTGCATTACTTCCTTCTTCCTTTCCCTCCAGCTTTCCTTTGTTTTCTTTCTTCCTTTTTCCTTTTTTCTCCATTTTCTTTCTCTTTCCTTTCTCTTTCCCTTTTTTCTACTTTATTTTTCACTATTTTTTTTCTCTTCCCTCCTCCTTCCTATTTTCTGTTGTTTTCCCCTTTTCTCTCCCCCCCTTTTTTTTTCCCTGGAGGTAGAATGAAAGTCCAACTTGAGCTGCAGACAGTGCACTCACGGAGGTACAGCAGAAACAGAGGAAAACAGAGTGTCTTTGCTGTCAGCATGATCACTTAATAATTTAGACCAGCCACAGAGTAAGATACAAGAATCAAGCACATCCTCAGCTAAAGGATTTGTGGCTGTCTCTCACAACAGCAAACAAGCAGAGATGCTCTGGTCTGGCATATCTCTGTTCTAAACACAGCCCATGACTGAACAAAAAGGCTCCTATGAATTAATACCAAGCAGCATAATCACTAAAAACTGTTATTATTATGCTGTACATTGATGTTATATTTGCATACAACTTTCATTGTCTTTTTGCTAGCATATAAAATTACTAAATGAAGAGTAAACTGCTCTTTTTGTGAAGGGTTATGTTTATTTCACAGAAATATTTATAAGCAACTGTATTGACATGTAAATTTTGTCAACAAAAAAGGCCTTTGTCTAAACTGTGCAAAGATGAGATGATACATTCAATTCAAGGATTATTTTTTTTAATTACATATCAAATAAAAAGGTTTCCCATTCATGGATAATGATGTTGTCTTCTCTTTTAAGAATAGCTTGCATATAGAGAAACAAATAACGTTTTTCTTCCCTTTTTTCATTTTGCAACATAATTAAAACTACTTTTAAAACCAGCTTAGAATTATTTAGAGAAATGAATCTAGGGTTTAAACAAAATAGAGTTATTTACGTTTTGAAAAGAAGTGGGTTAAAAAAATTACAGTGGAATTTAAGAATAATCTTTTTTTTCTTTTAACCCCTTCCAAATGTTTTTTAAAATAAAAATGTCTGTAATTTCCTCATAAAACTTCATAATGCCACAAAACCATTTAAACATACTTTAAAATTATAGATGTTTTACACACAGATATATATTTATAATTTGTATCTCTTCTATACTGTGTTTCAGGCCACAGCTGGAAACCTTCTTTATATGTAAGGAAGATGATACAGATTTCATTCATTCTAAAGTAGTTTCACCTTTTTCAGCCAGCAATCAGACTAAGATAAGAATTCAAAACATGCATCTTACTTTAAAACTAGCCCCACTGAATCAGTACTTTCATCACATAACAATTTAATGTGCCTCTAGAAGGTATAGAATCTCATTGAAGCCATTACGAAAATGAGGAGAAACACAGTTTTTATGAGTGTAATAAAAATACAATGATCTAGACCATAAACTAATCATCGAGCACTCTGCTTGTGCCACCCAAGTGTAACATTATAAAAGCCCACTCATTTAGAGAGGAATCCTTACAGTTTGGCAACCCTGTTCATTGGTTCAAAGACAGAGCATTTCATTAGAGAGGGGCTGTCTGCATCTCTGAAGATTTCATTAAGCATAAATCCAAATGAAAGTTAATTTAAACAAACAATTTCAAAGTTACTCTGGGGTATAATATTTCTTTTAGGTCATTGTGTGAAAAGTAGAAGTCAAATCTACTAAATCAAGAAGGCAATACAATCTAGTGCCTTCATTCCTGTTACAAGCAACTGTCTCTGCATCTCCTGTGCTTACCATTGAGATGGGATTTCCACTAAGGCTCACAGCCTGTGACTGGAGGACTACAACATTGTTTCCTTGCTAATTTAAATATTAGAACATCAGGCTGGGTATCTACTACCCTATATTTCCAAATAACTTAGAAGCAGGATGAGTCAAAGGCAGCTCACAGAGTTTTGCACGTCATCTGTTCATCTCCCCATCTTTAAGAAACTGATGGGGTTTTCAGAAGCTGCATCCCCCAGCACTTCACACTTGGCTGTGCTGTGTCCAGACATACCCACAAACTAGATAGTGGCCCCAAGAATGTGTCTTGGTAAAGAAAGAACAGGTAAGCCCAGACCTGGTCTGCACAATCCCAGTACAGACTCTGGAGAAGCACCTGTGGTTACCAAATAGATCTTTCAGCTGGCCTCGGAGAATGAAGAAAGAAGTTCAATTGCAAATATGCAGTAATTCACATATATCTGAACTTTGTATGTTTGTACAATGTGATAGAAGAATAAAGGGAATAATCAGGTCCTCAAGGCAGAGGCTTTCCTTTTTATGTAGAACCCAGTAAAATTAAGCCTTAGACTCCAAGTGTCTACAAGAACTAAATATATTTATATAAATACATCATATAATATATACATGTATATATTTGCAATATATAAAACTAAATTTCTTTAAATCACCTAGCAGAGGCAGGCTCATGTAATTGTAATTATAATTGCAATTCATGGCAATACTTTCAGTATAGAAATGTTGAATGGATTCCTGTGAATGGGAGCGATAAAACCCGAGTTCTGTACAGGAGCTGACTGCAGATCCTGCAGTGTATTCTTTGCTGAAAAGGGAGGACACTGCATGATTTTGTGTGACATGTCCACCTTCAGCCTGTAGGCCTAGAGAGTAACATGTTAATGATCTTTAATGAGATTCTGCTGTATGCATTGTTCTCAGAACACTTCTTGGACAAGAACAACACCATCCTGTTCCATTTGCTGCAAATTAAAGGCTGAATCCTGCAACCCAAAGATGAGCAGAGCATCTCAGATCCTCAAAATTCCCTGTTTATGAAACCCATCAAGTGTAGAGACCTCCTGCTGTGGTTATCCAGCATTGCCAGCCTCATATAAAGGTCTCCCACATTGGGATAAATTGTATTTAGTAAGAATTACTTGAAAAGGAGTACAGAATTGGTTTTCCATGTAGTGAGAAAAACAAAGTCACAAATAGCAGAACCAGTGTTACAACACTGCCATAAATCTGATAAAACATCAGTTTTTGATAGCTTCTACTTTAAAATGTTCTTGTTTACTAGCTTGTAAATAAAATGGTTAACATGAACCCCCTTTTCTTTTTCAGGCACTTCATCACTTTGAAGTTTCTTTTTATAATAAATGATTCTCCACAAACTCCTTTTTCAGCCATTTCTGTCATTTTCGTGATGGGGAAATGACAAGATACGAGCTCTGTCCAGACACTGTTTATTTAATGGAGACTAGTGGAGAAGTTTCTAAAAAGCAATGATTTAAAAGTAGAAAATAGATGGGATAATCAGTTAAATGCAGCCAGTTCACTAAATATAACATGCTAATCACACCAGCTGCTCTCTGAGAGAGACCTCCAGCAAACTACAGAATTTTCCTTTACAGTCTTTTATACAACTGGTATAACTGGTAAATGCAAAGACTTGGAAAAGCAGATGAATCAGCAAAGAAAACCCAAAAATTTCTAAGGATAAACAAAACTCAATATAAGTAAACATGACTCCTAAAAAAACAACAAATCAAGGTGCTAACCCTTGCAGCATCAGATAACAGTCATACCATTACATATTGTGAAAATAATTAACTCAACTGTGATGCCTTTCAAGCTGTTAAAAAAAGGGGATCTTTTAACTGAAGGAAAAATTGGGTTGAATTTAGACTTTTGTTACCACATAGAACTTCACAATGCATGCCAGCCAAAAAATCATACAAACTTTTTTTTTTTCCAAATATTTTGTTTGTAAATGACATAATTTTAATATGAAATGGGTCAAATCTGGCAAGGTCAGAATTGCCATTTGCAAAATCATAACTGTGCCTGGCAGTTCAGCAAATCTGTAGGTTGAAAGATTAATGGTCAACAATCTGTATTTCATTTAAAAAGTATCTGACTGCAGCTGGAAAAATGTCTTCAGAGAGGACCACATATAAATAAATATACGTTGTATTATGTCCCCTGCTGTTGCAGCAACACTTTGGGAAAGGCGAATTCAAGATGACTGCATGCGTTGCAATAATTTCTCTTTCTGCTTTCTCATAGAGACATAAACTGCTCTTATTCTTCTCAGTAGACTCCTAACTCAAGCCTTATTATTAAATAATTTAAATATGAGTTCTGTCTAGAATTGCACTGCTGACAAAACTACATTAAGGAGTAAAAGTCCACCAAAATCATCAGAACTTTTCCTTTAGTACTGAAAATACTGAAAATTTGGAAACTAAACAATGAAGGGATACAAATTTCTAAGTACCTTCTCCAATCTGAGCCATAATTAGAAGGGAGCATGGTAAAAGCAGACTCCTTCACTGAATGCCTCTGGAATTTTTAATGCTATATTTATTTCTCGTGGCTTGACAAGTTACTAGAGCTCTAGGGGCT